TTGCATAGTCAGTAAAACACAGGTAACACAGGTAAATATCTTTCTGGTATTCTCTGTTTTCAGCCAGGATCCATCTGACATCAGAAATGATATCCCTGGTTCTCTTCTGAATCTGGCTTGAATTTCTGGCAGTTCTCTGTCAATATACTGCTGCAGCTGCTTTTGAATGATCATCAGAAAAATTTTACTTGCACATGATATGAATGATACTGTTTGATAATTTCCACAATAGGTTGGACCACCTTTCTTGGGAATAGGCATAAATATGGATCTCTTCCCATCGGTTGGCCAGGTAGCTGTCTTCCAAATTTCTTGGCGTAGACTAGTGAGCACTTCCAGCGCTACATCTCAATTGATATTCTATCAAGTCCTGGAGCCCTGTTTTTCGCCAATCGCTTCAGTGCAGCTTGAACTTCTTCCTTCAGTACCATCGGTTCTTGATCATATGCTACCTCCTGAAATGGCTGAACGTCGACCAATTCTTTTTGGAATAGTGACTTTGTGTATTCCTTCCATCTTCTTGTGATGCTTCCTGCATCATTTAATATTTTCCCCGTAGAATCCTTCAATATTGCAACTTGAGGTTTGAATTTTTTCTTCTGTTCTTTCAGCTTGAGAAATGCCGAGCATGTTCTTCTCTTTTGGGTTTCTATCTCCAGCTCTTTGAACATCTCATTAGAATACTTTACTTTGTCTTCTCAAGCCACCCTTTGAAATCTTCTGTTCAGTTCTTTTCCTTCATCATTTCTTCCTTTTGCTTTAGCTACTCGATGCTCAAAAGCAAGTTTCAGAGTCTCTTCTGACATCCATTTTGGTCTTTTCTTTCTTTCCTGTCTTTCTAATGACCTCTTGCATTCCTCATGTGTGATGTCCCTGAGGTCATTCCACAACTCGTCTGGTCTTCAGTCATTAGTGTTCAATCTGTAAAATCTATTCTTGAGATGGTCTCTAAATTCAGGTGGGATATACCCAAGGTCGTAGTTTGGCTCTCATGGACTTTTTCTAATTTTCTTCAGCTTCAATTTCAACTTGCATATGGGCAATGGATGGTCTGTTCCGCAGCTGGCCCCTGGCCTTGTTCTGACGGATGATGTTGTGCTTTTCCATCATCTCTTTCCACAGATGTAGTCAATTTGATTCCTGTGTACTCCACCTGGCGAGGTCCACGTGTATCGTCGCCCTTTATGTTGGTGAAAAAAGGTATTTGCAATGAAAAAGTCGTGGGTCTTGCAAAATTCTATCATGCGATCTCCAGCATCATTTCTATCACCAAGGCCATATTTTCCAACTACTGATCCTTCTTCATTGTTTCCAACTTTCACATTCCAATCACCAGTAATTATCGATGCATCCTGTTGCATGATCGATCAATTTCAGACTGTAGAAGTTGGTAAAAATCTTCAGTTTCTTCATCTTTGGCCTTAGTGGTTGGTGCATAAATTTGAGTAATAGTCATATTAACTGGTCTTCTCTGTAAGCGTATGGATATTATCCTATCACTGACAGCGTTGTACTTCAGGGTAGATCTTGAAATGTTCTTTTTGACAACGAATGCAACACCATTCCTCTTCAAGCTGTCATTCCCGGGATAGTAGATCATATGATTGTCTGATTCAAAATGGCTACTATCAGTCCATTTCAGCTCACTAACACCTAGGATATCGATGTTTATGCGTTCCATTTCATTTTTGACGATTTCTAATTTTCTTAGATTCATACTTCGCGCATTCCACATTCTGATTATTAAAATGTTTGCAGCTGTTTCTTCTCATTTTGAGTCCTGCCACATCAGCAAATGAAGGTCCCGAAAGCTTGACTCCATTCATGTCATTAAGGTCGACTCTACATTGAGGAGGCAGCTCTTCCCCAGTCGTCTTTTAAGTGCCTTCCAACCTGGGAAGCTCATCTTCCTGCACTATATCAGACAATGTTCCGCTGCTATTCATAAAGTTTTTACTGGCTAATTCTTTTCAGAAGTAGACCATTGGGTTCTTCCTCCTAGTCTGTCTTAGCCTAGAAGCTAAGCTGAAACCTGTCTGCCGTGGGTGACCCTGCTGGCACTTGAATACCAGTGGCATAGCTTCTAGATGACATGCATGCCCCTACAGTACGACAAACTGACAGACACGTGGGGGCTTCAGCTCTAGTTGAGCGCAAATACCTCTGCTATAGCTTATGCTAAAGGTGGGTGGGATTACGTAGTACTATGGGGGGATTGGAGCCCTGGTGGCATAGTGGTTAAGTGTTCAGCTGCTAACCAAAAGGTAGGCAGCTCGAATCCACCAGCCACTCCTTGGAAACCCTGTGGGGCAGTTCTACTCTGTCCTATAGGGTCACCATGAGTCAAAATCGACTCGATGGCAATGAGTTTGGGTTTGTTTTTTTAGGGGTGGGAATTAGAGAAGAACTTGGAGGAAATGGCAGTTCAGTTGAACAGGAAGGAGAAGACATTATTTCTTTTATAAACACTAACAAAAGCAAAAGGAGCCCTGGTGGCCCAGTGGTTAAGCATTCAGCTGGTAACCAAAAGGTTGGTGGTTCAATCCCACCCAGTGGCTCCGGCAAGAAGCGGGACAACTCAGGAAGTTAATGGATGACACAGGGGAGAGTGACGCCTTTGAATATGTGTATATTGTAGAGAAAATGACAAAAAAAAAAAAAAGTGAATATATTACAAGTTAAAGGAGAATAAATATATTGAGGAATTCTGGGATCATCACACGCTAATGTCACTATATAAGGCAGTCTGTTAAGTAACCAAGAGACATGGGGAGACCTCATAGGATAACGATACCTGAGAAAAACTCATATTGTTAAAACCTTTTGTAATCTTTCAATTTATAACTATTAAACCAGAATTTATACGAAGAGCTCAGATAATCATATTGTGAAATATTCTTCAATGTGTTGTATAAATAATGCATAGACTCTACTCCATCTTCCACATCTATGTGACTGTGTAATAAATGATCTTTATATGAAAATCCAGCATCAGAACAAAATCCTGAAGGATTCTTCTGGATTAATCAAGAAAGTTGATTTCTTGGTAAAATATAGATAGATTTTTTATGATATTATAATGTGTAAACTGGCTATATGCATATGATTTTTATGTATATAGCAAATACAGGTAGCTCAGCTAAATTATCAGACTATCTTATTATCAACTGACTGTAGCCTGGGAAATCCTTCAACAGAATTTTCTCACAACTGCAATGAAATAAACAGGCCACCTATTTCAGAAACTCATAACACTGAGATTTCTTAGGGAAATAAAAACCCTGACCCTTTCAAATTTGGAGTGCTTAAATATCAGCCTCATCTGGTTCAGGTACCATGTTCCAGGGCTCATAAACCTGCCCAACTCATTTACACTCCTGAGAGTAAAAACAGGAAGAATTATTTGTGAAGGGTTTCTCCGTTATTTGTGAAGGGAGTCTCTTGTTACCATCTAAAAATTAACTGTAAGGGTATCAACTGGATAAGAAACAGCCAGTTAATGTCAAGAGCTATCCAAGAAAAAGAAACGTCTGATTTTAGTATGATTGGTATATATGATTTCTATATTTAAGCACTCCATTACTAACAGAAAGGCTAGCAGTTCAAATCTACCCAGAGGCACCTCAGAAGAAAGGTCTGGTGATCTTCTTCTGAAAGACCAGCCATTGAAAGCACTATGGAGCTCAGTTCTATCCTGACACACATGGGGCTACCAGGAACTGGAATTAACTGAAGAGCCGGAATCAACCCGAGGGCAACTGGTTAGGGTTTTGGGGTTTTTTTTTTTTTTGTATATTTAGAAACTTTTGGATGGTAACAGAAGCGGCAATACACAGAACTACTTTATTTTATATACAACTGCATGTTTGTGAGTTAAATCTCAGTTTGTGAGTCACACTGGACATGCCAACTTCTTATTTTCTATAGGCCTGGTTAGTGGAACTATCTTTCGCTACAGATTAAGAGTATTAATAATGAAAGTTTTGACTGAAGATCCTAAAATGATTGTGGTGCAAATGGAGTGTTTTGTCAACAAAAAGTGAGGCTTTACCAGTGTGATATAAGATCAGCACTTACAAGCCCTAAGGAACAAAGACCACCACTATCAGCAGACTTCCTGATTAAGGGGAAGGGAGAAGGCAGACTCTAAAGACATTTCCACAGATTCCAAACAGATTTCTCTTCCCTCAGGATGGTACCTCTGCAGGAGCTGTGGAACTGGAGAGCTCACACAGGGAGCCACTCTCAGATGCACGGCCCTTACCTGCTATCATGTCTCCACTAATTTGCAAGATGAGCGATTACAGCATTTGTGTTAACCTGAAAAAAAAAATACTGGGTTTCTACTTCAACCCAGAGATAAATGGCTGGATATTGAAAAAGTCTACTTACTAAAAAGCTGAAATTGACCATCTTTTTCCTGTTTCTCAAGTGAATTTAGACATTTCCATTACTTTATACAATTCCAGGGAAACGTGTTTGAAAGGTTATTGGAAGTGACAGATGGGCCTATTCTGAAATAAAATTAAGCCTGTTGTACTACTGAAAGGAAGTTATGAAATCCAAAATTAAAGTGGACATTATGGTCCTAAGCTGTTTTCATTTCTTTCTCAATGAAGTACAAAGAGTGGGAGGTTGAAGCGAGGTTGCCGCCTCTTCTCTGAATTTCCTCACTTTGGTCAATTTGTGTTGGACCTACAAACTGTCTTCTTAACGTAATGTGTTCCCCGAAATTTTAAACCCATATATATTTAAAGATGAACATCAAATACGTCTTTCATTGATATCACTAAGAACACAACTAATTTTTTAGATATGTGACTTTAAAGATCTGGGGAAAAATATTTATAAACAACTTATGGTTTATCAACAGTCCCACTTAGAACGAGATTTTAAAAATATATACATTTCCAAAACCCATTATGCACTCTAGACACTTTCAGAGATCATTCGTATTGTGGATTGCTTTGCTGAGGGTTTCAATGAAGAGCCACACCTACCTTATTGTGTTCGTACTTGTATGGGATCTTGAGCGTATCCATGGCTCTGATCATGGCCTGCATGGCTGTGAAGATGTTCTGATATACCAGCTTTGTGAAGCCCCTTTTGTCTTCATCAGAGTATCCTGACCCATGGATGATTCTCATCTGCTTGATGAATGTGCTCTTCCCACTCTCTCCTGTCCCTGAAAGACAGACAATAGCAGCTCATCAGACCCCAATGCCTTCTCACCGTCTCCCAGATAACTCAACCAGAAGTGGGCGTGGACTGGACACCCCTGACCGGCCTGCTGAGAGGAGCTTCACAGCACAGCAGCAGCACTGGGTGTGGAAATGCCACCTATAAGGAATACTTAGCAAAATTATAAAGATGAGATTCCATTTCAAAGGTAGACTCACCCAAAAACAAAAAAATCCTGTCACCTCTTTGGAGGCCACTCAGCATGGAATTTTGATAGTGATTTGTAATCATGTATCTTGCAAGAAACACAATGAAAACAGCATCTTTTGAACATAATGAAAACTTGATAAAGCTCTCTTCCCTGGAGAATATTTGAAACACTTCCAGGAGGCTGGGTTGTTTGGCCAGCATTTGGATCCAGAAAAGACATTTCACTTACACAAATGCTGTTCAGAGAGAGATAAGAGAAGAAGGCTTAAAAAGTCTTTTAAAAGGACATTTTCTTTTATGGGGTGTAAAGAGAGCAGAGTATCCTGATCAGACAAGAAGCAGGATCATTTTTCTGGACAGAAAGCATCAACCGCATTTATTTCTAAAGGGTTTGGTTGGCTGAGTTATTCCAAGGAATCACCTAATTCAGGAAGGTCACAGTCCCCACTCATGACTATAACCTGATACAGAAATTTATTTCTATTGGATCTTTTCTTCAGTGTTATCTCATTTTCCGCTTCTTAAATATTCCTTTTCTGTCACCATACACCTGAAGATAATTCCTAACAGAGGGCTACAGATGTTCACGGGAAGATGGAAAGATGAGATTATTTCACTGAACGACAACATATTTCTTCTACACAGAATCTAAAACTTGTAGTTTTAGGCTCTAAAACTCTGAATGTGAAAACGTCATCTTTCTAAATGTAAGTGGCTTTTTTTGTATGTCACTTCACTTCTGAATGATGTTTCTTGCTCATGTTTAAATTTCCTTGAGATTTCCAAAACAATAAATGCCTTTGTCTTCCCCCAACCATGTGGATAAATAAAGGTACCTATTTGGATATTAAATATGGAAGAACAGAATAAAACAGAGAAGACCCTTATAATCAGTGTCCTTATTGCTGTCTCCTTTCTACAAGCTGGAAATAAAAAAAAAGAAAGAAAGAAAAAAAGGGAGGGAGAACTAAAAACTAAGAACACAACAGTCCTAATTTCATTTTGTTCTTCTAGTGGTTGGATTTCTTACTATCTTGATAAACAATCACCACAAATTCAAATACGTTTTACAGTTTTCACAGAAGCACTCTTAGATGACTGCAGGTGTCTTCGTAAACACAGAACCCTCACACAGTAACAAGGAAAGATGATTTCCACCCTCATAGCCCTGCAGTAGCCAATTCCTTTAATTTCTTTCTACTACTTTTAATAAAGTGATCAGGAATTCCTTGAAATACAAATTTAACACTGCAAAGAGTTTAAAATGAATATTTTAGAACCCTAACCATGAATACTGGAGAAACATATAAAGCACATAAAAAGTAGCATCTCTAATGGAATAAAGCTATGAAATTATCTCTCAGTCAGCAATTTATACAATGAAACTAGTATTACTCTCCTAAGCAATTATAAATATGTAGGAAAAAATCCAGATTGTTTCTTTGTTTATTATTCCTAACCAGAGCCAACAGCTTGCTCTCTGAGTCCAACTGTAGACACATCATGGAACAGTCATCTCTGCCAGTTCTTTCCGAAACCAAAACAGACGAGATCTTAAAATGTGAAGCCAATGGTATGAGAAGAAAAGGAAAGAGAATCAGGCAGTAGGGTCCTCTCTCTCCTGGTCATCTGAGAAGATTTTATACACTCAACCCCAAATTTAAAAAAAAGAAAATAGCAGACGAGATATAAACTACATTGGCTTGTGCTTCATTGAAGTCCTGTTAGCACTGACATTGGCGTCTAGTCAACAAGTTCTCACTGGCACCTTCCACGCGCTGGACCTCACGCTAATACAGACTCCATGTAGGGGCAGAACGAGTGACTGAGGAATGAATGGGACACGCTGAGAGGAAAGAACAAAGAATCCATAAGCTAACTCCAAAGTAAAGTATTTTTCTGTTGCCCCACCCCACCCAGAGACCCTCCCTCCACCTTGCCTGAGGAGGCTGACCTGTAAGGATTTCGTCAGCAGCTCTCTTGTCCTCTGTCCTCTGCTTGGGTCTGCCCAGAGAGCAGGAGAATAAGGAGAGAGTGTTTATTCCCCAGTTACCTTCCTACAGGGGCACTACAGACGTGCTGCAGCCCCTAGCAAAGGCCACAACTCCTGTTAGGTGGCCTCCACCATTCAGGAACTGCTCCCTCCCTCTGCCCAGCTATTGCTGGCACCTGGTTACTACACTAGCCCATACTGGTTACCTACACCTGGCCCACTTCTTTGTAAACAATCCTTTTATAAAGCTCTCCTCAGTCACCTAGTTCTAGTGTGTCATATGTTTCCTGATGAGAACTTGGGTGCAAATACCAGAAGGAAAGCAGGGGGCATTTAATAAGCTAGAGAACAGGAACGGCAAGGGAATAGAGGGTGCCATCTCTTCTTCCCCTGCTCTTTTCTCTATAAATATTATTTATAAGGTGCTCTCTATTTTATAAAGGACTTTCTATTCGGTAAATCAGTCTCATGACATTTCCTCTGGAGGTCAATCAAGATGAGGAAACAGGCATCATCCAGGGAAGAAATGACAGAGTCCAAAACAGAATCCAGGTCTCCTGACTCTCCGCCAGTCCTAACAAATACCGTAATTATCCCACAGAGCACATGCGCACATACACACTTGAAGACCAATCTCCAATATAGACATGGGAAACAGTGGTCTCCACCTCCTAAAAATCCCCTTCTCTTGTAAAGAATACAGAAAGAAATTAGCATTCAATCCTTTAAGCTTTGCAAAGTAGTCTGGAAAATGTTGTCATTTTATCCTCTCAAAAATCTGTGAGACAGATTTATTTTCCTCATTTCACAGAAATAGAGAGAGGTGGGGCAACATATCTAAGACATATGGCTAATAATGAGCAACAACAGGGTTCAAGCCCTGATATTCCGATGCCTGGCTTGGACCTGTCACAACTGCCACCATTTCACAGCTGTCACAAACCAAGGATGATTAACTCCCGAATGCCCACAATCTAAAACTGTCTCAACACAGCTTTGACTATGGCCAACTTTTTATCCATCTAATCTAATTTGGGATTTCTGTATACTTCAATTTTAGAGACCCGTTTTGAATCTTGGTGCTAAATTCAAACTGCTTTGTCATCCTTCTCAGGTAAATCTCACTTATGAGCTCAATGCTCAGACTTTGATTTTATTATATAAATGCAGCCAATTCAAAGACGAGGCAAAGTTTCATGTAAAAGAATATCTGTGTGATGCTATAGGGTACAACAAGAAAAATAGTAAATTAAAGTATTATTCTGTACTAAAATTGAATTTAGCGAAAAGGAAAGTATATGGACACATCAAACAAGCAACAAACTCAGCTTCTTTGTTCCATTAATGTAGAAAGGCTGTGATTTTTATGGGTTATATTAGATCTCTGTGGAGGTGGGGCCAAGATGGTGGAGTAGTCAGATGCTTCCTGTGGTCCCTCTTACAACAAAGATCAAAAAAAACAAGTAAATCGATTGTATGTGACAACCTAGGAGCCCTGAACGTCAAAGGCAAATTTGAGGAATCGGACTGAGAAGCAGGGGGAGGGAGAGACTGTTCAGAAGCAGCGAGGAGATGCCAGACCTGACCCAGTGGGAACCAGCACCCTGCAGCTCAGCACATGTGGTGAGGCAAGCAGTGGTGCTTGAGATGCGTTTTCCACATCGGGAGAGACCGAGTGAGTAGCGAGAGTCTATTCAAGCCTCCAGTACCAGTGAAAAGCAGCAGCGCTCAATTGGTAAAAGGTAAGTACCTGCGTCTAACCTACCGTGCAGATCAAAAAACACCCTCTTTGGGAAAAACCTCTCTCCCATTTACCTGCCTCCTCCCCGCTCTGTAACAGGTCCTGGACTGGCTTCAGCCATTGTCATGTCCCCTGGGCTGGAAGTAAGGACCTGTCATATGCCCTGAGCCATTCTCCAGGCCTTGGAGAGGGAACAAATTAACCAACAGGAAAAAATAATCCGCCAGCTCACCTAAGTCAGGAACTTAGAGTAGGCGTAGCTCCTTTGCCTAGGCACAGGCATAACGGTTCCACAGACTTTGAATGCCTTTCACCCCTGCATAGTCCTGTGTGGGCCCTCAGTAGCAAAGTACAACAGGGTATATACCTGAAGCCTAACTTCCACTGTATCAGCTATATGGTAGAGTGGCAGGTTTGTGACATTTGACACTGCTCTGCCCATTAAGCAGGGTCCTCACCTACCCACATCAGGGGCCTGAGGACTGATGGCTCCACCCATGCCACCTAGCCACCCACAACAGAGTTCCAAAAATAAGTGATGCCTCCCAGTTCTTACAGCCAACAGCACTGGGTGCCCATAGCCAAGCTGCAAAACCCACCCACCTACGCGCTCTAGGGAACAGGGACACGCTTTCCTCTCAGACACTCAGGGGCAGTCATCAGTCCCCGGCCTTGCTCAGTGCATGATCCTCTACTGCAGCCAGATACTTGTGCCTACACCAATCACCCCTGCCCATCTAGGACTGTAGGTGAGAGCCTGCACCACACACTTGGTGACAAACTATCTGGACACCTGAGCTGAATCCATACAAGAAAAGTAAACAGACTCCTGGGCTCACAAACCTAGTAACAGATTTAACCACCTGGTGACCGGACCTAAAAGCTTCAAAGGTGCCAGTGATCAAACAAGCTCATACAAGCAGCCTACTCAGGCATATCAAAACATAACAAAACAAAAAGCTAGGACACAGTAAGTAAACATAAAATAAATAAATATAATAACTTATTGATGGCTCAGAGACAACAGTCAATATCAAATCACATAAACAGGCAGACCATG